TTACTAGCGGGAGAAGAATAGAGGAACTTTTGTTTGAAAAAGGCGTTTTGGGAACAAATTGATTTAGGATCTTGACTCTATGAGGGCCGACGATTCATGTATATATACTTAATCAAAGCAATTTCCCCAAATTGCCCATAGATTTGATCGAATCATCACTCGGATTTCCAGAAGACAGATTTGGGAACGAATGCCCAAATCAAACTTTTTTGGACTTCCAGATTTAGTCCCCAGATTTCCAGATTCATTCGATTTAATCCTCACTATTTTTGATTTCTTTTGATTTGAACCCCTTATTCTTGATTCTTTTAGATTTAATCCCTAACTTCTTTATTTTATTCAATTTAGCCCCTATGTTATAGGTTTTCATAAATACCCTAATTTAGGGGTATTACACTGTCTTTATCAGGTTGGGAAAAAAAAGGAACTAGAAGTTAGAATTTAGTTTTCAAAAACCATAGAAGTTCTTTTTTGCTTTGAGCGGTACAAAAGCGCTTTTCCTAAGCTACTGCAAACACCCATTTTGTCCTGTTGTAAAATAGTTAGCGAAGAGGCAATTAAGCAGGGGGCTGTGACGTAAACGGGGTTTGATATCCCAAGGATAAACCCATGACCAGCTTAACCAAAATGGTGTTAGGTTTACTTTCCTAAGCAAGCAGGGATTAGGAGTCAGACGGGATGACAGATGAGAAATTGATCGGCTATATGGCTACCAGCTACATCTTTTGACAAGGGTTTAAATAGCAATGGAATGAATACTGAGTGCATACATTCAAAATTTTCAGTTTTTTTTCTTTCGAGTTTCTGTCTAAATGATCTTAATTTATTAAAAGAACACAAATTAATTCCTTATAATCAATCAAATATTCCTGACAACGTTCGTGCGTTTTAGAAATTTTACATAAAAATCCTGATTTGTTCCTGTATAACACAAATTCATGCACTGTTTTACAAGTGTTAACCTTGGTTCTCTACTTACGTGAAATAATTTAATTTGTTAATATAGAAGTACAATTCAAATTTTATTTGCATGTTATTAACAAGTTTAAAACCAATTCAACTTATTACTAGTGTAAACCCAAGGGCTAGGTATAGAAACTGTGCATATTTCTTCAATTTTTTAGAGTTAAGATTTTAAAATTATTTCACAAAATATTAATTTTTCATTTTGAAATAAAAATTATCATTGAGTATGGATTTGTCCTTCAAGTCTGTTTTGTATTTTCAAGTACAGCTAAAACCAATTTTTTTTTCATGCCCCTACCTATTTGGAACTGTTTTTTGCTTATTGATCTCTATTGTTTCATTTTCTAAAATTACAAAAATATAGACAAGGGGAGATGAGTAAACTATTTAACTAGTACAAGTCTTAAAAAAATACATGATATGACTATTATAAAATTTCGCTTCAAAAATTCGATTGTCATAAAATCCCGCATCCGGAGTTTATTTTGTTACTCATTGTTGGTATGATTAAGGTATCTATTAGGACTTTTTATAGTTTTTAAATTATACTAAACCAAATTGCACTACAAATTAAGTTTTTAAAAAGAAAAATTATAAATTTTGATATTAGGTTATACTGTGCAGAATATTTTGGTACAGTTTAGTTTTACAAATTAAAAATTGATAAAAAATTGTACTAAACCAAGTATTATATAAAAATTAGATTTTTTTAAAAAAAATTTATAAGTTTTGGTATTAGGTAATACCGTATTGAATATTTTAATACAATTTAGTATTACAAATTCAAAATCAACAAAAAAACATACTAAACCGAATATTATATATAATAATTTATTAAATTATTTATATCATATACGAAATGATTAAATTCTTAAGTATTAACTACAATTCAATAGTAAATTAAAGAAATAAAAAAGTTTAGGAATTGTAGGAATAAGAAGTGTAAATATTATGAATTAAAGGGTTAAAAAGATTCCAATATATATTTTATACTCTTACAAATAATTTCTTAACTTTTGTACAACTATTAGGGAATGAGGTTTTTTTTTTGTTTTTTCTTTTATCATCAAATTTGTGTTATAATATATTGAATCACTTACCAATTTAATTATCACCTAATTTGAATTTCATAAATTACCTAGTATATGGGAAGCTTTAACTAAAAAAGAAAAGAACTTCTTAAATACATTTTTCTATTATAAATAAGTAAAATTTTCACTTAACAAATCTAAAAAGTAGTTCTAGAAAAAAATTAAATGAAAAAAATTGTATGTATAAAAATATGAACTAAATATTAGACTTTCTTTTCCATCAAAAACCTTAAGCACCATTACCAAATAAATATAAATAAATGAGAATTAAATTTCAATTTTTAAAATAGAAATTATTGAATTTTATATCTCAACTATTAATAGAAAAATAAATGTAAAATAGTGAATACATATTTAAAGAAAAATTAAATTAAATTAAATTTTAAACTATACTGTATTGATATATTATGTATAATAATTTATTAAATTGTTTGTATTATATAAGATTATTAAACTTCTAAATAATTAGATTATAAGTTATTAATTAAAATATTTATATTATATTTAAATTAATTAAATCCTTTGATGACGATAGGTTTATAATTAAATTGATTAAAAGTTTTATGTTAAATTAAATTAAATTAAATTAACTTTTTCATTTGTTTCCATACTATTTTTAATTTGTTTTAATACATTAAGAGATCAAAAATATAAAGTTATAAATGATCATTAATAAAAATTTTAAAATTAAATTTTTAAATGTAAAAAATTATTAACATTATATAATCTTAAAATAATTTTTTTATCTTAGTTATATACTAAAAAATATTTTTGTATAATTTTCTAAAAATTTTATTAGTTTACTTAAATTGTTCAATATAATTAAAAAAATAAAAATCATAAAAATCATACTAAAATCAAATAAAATCTAAATAATAATATCAGTATCAAAAAATATAATTTTAATTTTAATATTAAAAAATTAAAATTAAAATAATTAATACCATATAATTTTATATTAAAATAAAAAAAAAAACTAAACGTGATCATCCCTGACACCCATGTCCAAGACAATTTATTTGTAAACTCTCTCTCTCTCTCTCTCTCTCTCATGTTTTCTTGTTCGGGACTCTTGGCCCCGTTTATGAACCAAAAAACTAAAAGAAAAAGAAAAGAATGTCGAAGACTCCACATTTTCCATACGTAACACACGTTTCTCATCATTCTCTTGTACACACTCAGGCAAGTCTCAAATTCTCTTGCAAAAAGATCAGTCCCCAAAGTGATTTGACAGAACAAGTTACATCAGAAAATATTTTCTCACTCGTCAGCATTATTTTCATATTATTTTCATTTTCCATTAAAAAATTATGTGATTCTCAAAAACAACTGCTCTTATTCTTTGAACATGGGCATGTTTCTAGAAAATTGTCCCGCAAGAAATTTTGAAGTACAATTCATCAAAGGTAATCATCTTATACTTCCAAGCCACAGAACGAAGATGCTTTACGAGTACATAAGAAAGTTGCATTTTTGAAGTCCCACAAATTTTAAGGCAGTGCTCACAGGCGTTGGTCCCACTGAACTGTTGCTTTCTGATTAACAGCCTACTCCGGATCTAACTTGCTCATTCCACAATCCCTCACTATTTTACCGCAAGGAAACAAGACAACAGCACACAAGCTACTGAAAATTTCTGTATCAATACCACACCAACAGAAAGGGAAAAAAAAAAATTGAATATAGAAAATGTCTTCCGCTTGTTATAATCTGTCTGCTTAACATATTTGGCTTTCCTCAAATACAACATTTTGTCATATCAATAACAACAACATATGAAAAGATAAAAAATAATAATATTTATGAACTCTCACTATCATGAGAACTATAGAGGGGGGGAAAAAGAGTGAGTGCCAAAATTCTTCATGCAAAATAATGGCCGTTGGAATCGTTAATCAACAATAACAAACCATATATAGGAATCAATCTGAACACCATTTCTCGAACTGATTTGTGGTGTAAGCATGTGGCAGTTCAGATTCCACCATAAGAAATTCTCTTAATCTGTTTCAGTAATGTTCTTTCCAACATCAAGCTTACTCCTGGTTTCACAACAGACAGGTATGTTTGCATCAGTGTCCCAACGAAACCAAGTTTGTGACTGTAGCTAGAAGCATGGAGAAATTAAAATGCAATAACAGAATGAATGAAGACAACGAGTAAATAAATAATGCATGTCTACCATGAGATGTGCTTCCATGAGCCTGCCTCATAAACATTTTCCCTAAATATGTCACCAATATACAAGAATCTGACAACACTCAACAATCCTCACAATGCCAATATTTTCGCAACCTGAGTACTTAGCCAGAGGCCACCTGCCATCAAGGAATCAGTTATAGTCCTATGGATTCAGCCCTGACTAAAAACTACAAACTCAGTCTTGAAGGTGCCTGAATAGCTTCACTTACTTCTACATGCTAATCAGAATTAAGAAGAAAAGTTGTCATTTTTTTAAAATTCTAGAGAAGTCCAAATATTTTTAATGATTATTCAGCAAAATATAATTTTTGTCATAGCAACAAGACTTTATTTTATCTATAGCATGATCTTGCATGAGCCCTGCATCCATGCAGACAAATAAACTTCCTACACATGCAGAGATAGTATTATTCAGAACACCCATCCGTATTACATAAGTTAATTTTTGGGGTAGCCTAAAAATGTTACCCAAGTTTGCAAGTCCTTAACAATGTCAGAATATTTTGGCTTCTGTCCAAAGAATCTGTTTAGATTGGTATTGAAGAAAGCATATATAATGATATAGTCTTTGTGATTATCACATCAGCAACACAGGTCAGCTAACATCAAAAGAAAAACCAATCCAAAATTATTGCATGTTCCCAAATATAAAGAATATGAACTAACAAAAAGGCAACATGACTATATAAGATCTTGAAGTTAAAGTTATATACAGCCAATACCTATGCCACATAAAGCAGCTCAATCGTCAACTTCTGCTCTGATTTCTTTTAGCAACTCTTCCTTGTATTCCTCAAAATTACCAGGGAAAGTCATAACAGTTCCATTCTCCACTACCCAAATCTGGCTCCTCTCCTCATCATCACAAACACGTGATATTAGTCTAGAATCATGACTAACAAGAACAACTCCACCGCTGAACTCATCAAGTGCATCAGCAAGAGCATCAATACTTTGCATATCCAAATGATTTGTGGGCTCATCCAGCAGCAAAATATGCGGCCTTGACATGGAAATGGAAGTGAAGACAACCCGAGCCTTCTGTCCCCCAGATAACTTTGCAATGGGGGTCAAGTGGTTATGGCTAGGGAGACCAAATTTTCCAAGCTTTGCTCGGACAGCCTCTTGCTTACTAAGTCCCTCTTGGTCTGGATGAAGTCGCAGAAGATATTGAACTGGTGTTTCATCCATTGTCAACAGATCAACAAAGTGTTGTGAATATCTCCCAATCCTCAACTTCTGACTCCTTCGTACTTCTCCTTCACTTGGAACCAAGTCACCAGCAAGAAGGTTTAGCAAGGTGGATTTCCCTGCTCCATTTGGTCCAACTATAGCAACACGAGTTCCCATGTCAATACCAACATCAACATTAGAGAGCCTGAAATCCGCTCTACTCGGATAGCTAAAGCTCACTTCAATAAGCTGCAAAAGTGGTGGTGTCAGCTCTGTTGGTTCAGGGAAGTGGAACTCCACAGTGTAATCTCTCCACTTCTGGGGGCTTCTGGGAGGGGTTCATCTTCATCAACCTTGCCCTTCCCCTTATGCTTTGATGCTTCTTTGCTGGCAGCAGCTTTTGCCCGATCCTTGACTTTCTCTTGCTGAACTCGATTCCCACTCCTCTTGGCTGCTTTCATCTGCTTTTCAAAAATCTCATACTTCTTGTTCATCTCTTTCCTGCGCTGTTCATAGCCACTTTCAAAATCATCAAAATTCCCTCTGTATACGTGAAGTTTGAGGTCATGGAGGTGAATAATCTCATTGCAAACCGTATTAAGAAAATCTCTGTCATGCGAGACGACGACTAGAGTCTTCTTCCAGCGGCACAAGTATTCCTCTAACCAGAGAACAGCTCTCAGATCAAGATGATTGGTCGGCTCATCCAACAGCAACAAAGTTGGCTGCACAAAAAGCGCCCTAGCCAAAGAAATTCTCATTCTCCATCCACCACTAAAAGACTTTGTTGGGCGGCCCTGCATGTCCTTGGTGAAACCCAGCCCTGCAAGAATCTTTGAAGCCTGAGCCTCGGCAGCATCTGACCCAATCAGCTCTAATCTTTCATATAATTCAGCAAGCTTCTCTCCAGCATCATCCTCATTACCATCATCATTTCCATCCTCAGCACCAGCAGCAGAAGTAGCATCTTGCAAGGCTGCAACCTCTTGTCGAAGCTTGACAAGCTCCTCATTAGCTGAAACAACTGCTTCAAGGGCAGTTTTATCATCACCAATTACCTCTTGTTCAACCAGTAGCACATCTATATTTTTAGGAACCGGAATTTTTCTCCAAGCTAGGAGCTTCAATAGGGTAGACTTGCCCATTCCATTTGGTCCAACCAATCCATACCTCTTCCATGAGATATCTTCACAGATGCATTCTTGAAGAGTTCTTTTCCCCGAGCTGATACAGAGAAATTATCTATGGTTATATCCTTCACGTTGGCATCAGCTTCATTTTCACCATCAAGAACAGAGGCACGGCTGCCAATGACAACAGTGAAGGCATCTCGATCATCCCTAAGAGCCTCCTGTTTGGCTATTGCAGCAGCTTGAGCAACCAGCATATCCTTCTTCTCCCGCTTCTTCAACTCTTTGTCAGTTACAGAGATGTCAAGAGCCTTAGCTTCGCTCCTCTGCTGACGACTTAAATTCTCTCTCTCCTGGTGCTCATCTTCAGAGGCATAATCATCGTCCTCTTCATCAGAAGGAGGGAGATCAATGCCGTCAATATAAGATGGTTTTGCAGCTACCTTAGGCTTGGGCTTATTGGAACTAGAGCCTGAGGATGTGGATCCTTTCTTAGCGTTACCAGGTTTCTGATCCATGCTAGCAAGCATGGCTGAGACAGAGAGCTTCTCTTTCTTTCCATCCTTGGCAGCATCTTTGCCACTTGGCTTACTCTTTGATGAAGCACCACTCTCGTCTGCCTTTTTCCTTGCCATTGCTTTGTGTTCTGATTAGGAAAGAGCTGGAAAAATTAGTAATTCACCGACATAAACATTGATAATTCTAATAAACCTCAAATAAAAAATAAATAATGATACAAATTCACAATACAATAAGAATAATTAATTGTCAAACACTGCAATCTAAAGGACATCATAACAATCACATTAGATCAAGTAAAGTAGAATTAGTTCAAACATAAAATTTTACCCAGTAAACAGCAGTGGATCACATCAAGTAATGGAATCACAACTTTTTTCCTTATATTAACAAAATAAAAAATAAAAAGATTGCAAAGAAAAGTAACACTCAGCAACTACTGACAATGGTGAATTAGAAAGAGCGAAGACTATCTGTCTGGTTGAATATTGAAAGCAAGCTTCTCACTTAAAGTATATCAAAACAAAAATCAAAAGGTGATCCGCCCAAGTAAGAAACAAAATCAGATAAAATAGTTACTAACAAATTAAACTACTAACTTTTAATACCAATTTGTTCCATCTAGGATTTGGTTTATCTGTGTAAGTTTGATAAAAGATGTTGGTCACTAATCTTAGAGAGTCAAAAGCATCAGAATCCACTAAATATTTTTGGTCTAAAAGCAGTATTTCCAGTCTGAAGGTTACCCCTAAGAGGAACTTTGCTATTTGTCAAGGTAATATCCATGCTGAATCTATTTGCAGGTGATTCTTATGCAGTAAATCATTCAAGAACTCTTGAAATTTCAACTTCTCACGTTCATTAAACTAGTAGGATTCCTCGCTCTTGTTTTTCTTTCAAGTTGTCCCTTGCCTAATAAATTCACAACATTTTTATCTTCTTGAACACCAGTGAACTTAATCCCAAAGTTAACCACCAAACTTAAAAACACACCCTAAACACCAAAATCAAAATGACTATTTACTATCCCGAGTGAGTCGTCAACATTGAGATCAAATATCAAAAGGATAAAGAAAAAGATAAATCACAAATTCAAAACCCATAAAATTCCAGATAAGTAAATTGAGAAATTACAGGTGAATAGCAAAGCACGAAAACGGCCATCTCTTTAAATACCCATCTTTCACAAATCATATATAATGCACCAAAGTGATGAAAAACTTAGGCGCGAGGAGAAATTGCAGGAAGAATAGTTTGCGACAAATAGAACCTATGCACCGGATTTCCAAGAGGCTGCGACAGGAACCGCCAAATTGCTCGTATAAAATAGAAACAGGATTTCATCTTGCTCAACCAATCATTAACTCGATCATATTGACTAGCGAATACTATTATCCATTAAATTGCGAACAGCTATTTCAAATTATAACTGGTTTTAGCAAAAAATGACTATTCCTATTACACCACGCCAAGAACAAGCATACGCACAAACATAAAAGATGAAATCCAGAAATCATCACCATCAACTAATTCATTAACTCCAATCAGATTAAGTAGCAAACAACACACGCAGACAAATTGGCTCAAGCATTTCATATTGCAACAAAACCGAAGAAACCCAACGCAGAAAAACCCAGAAGACAACCCATCAATCCAGATTAGATAATTAGCAGAGGCAACAGCAACAGCAACAGCAAATATATCCAGTCGAACCCAATAACCAACAAAGAATTGAAAAAAAACCAAGATGAATGAAGAGTAAGCTCTGAAACATCGTAAAACCAAACCAGGAATCAACGAGCAAACTTTGTGTGGAAAGGAGTGGATTGCTGCACAAACGTCGGCTTAACAAGAATACCTTGAAGACTTGGCCGATCACGGCGTCGTTATCGCAGAACTGCAGTACGTCGTCGGAGAATTGTCTTCGGCGGCTTTGCCAGATATGCCGAGATCGCAGTTAGGAAAAGAGAACGGAGTGAACAAGGTCTGTATTAGGGTTTGGAAGATGAAATACTGAACAAGTATGTCGGTTCTCAAACGGGTCTAGAGATCCAACCAGGGACTCGGTGTTATTTTACGTAGGACCTGCGGGTCGGGATCCGTTCAAGAAATTCTTCAATATCTCGGTCCCCGTACCCGTACTTACTGAAAATTTTTATATTAAAATTTGGTTACGTGAGAAAATATATTAAAAACAAGTTGGAAAAATAAAATTTTAGAAAAAAAAATTATCAAGAAAGGTTTTAGTAAGAAAAAATTTAAAAATTAAATAATGAAATTTTAACAAATTTAAGGGGCAAAACTTTAGAATTTTGGAGAGATAAAATTTTAGAGAGAGAAAGTGAAAAATTAGATAGAAAAATTAAAAGAGGGACATTTGAAAAAAAAATAAAGATGAAAAATATTTAGAGAGATAACATCAAATTTGGATACTAAATAGATTATTAATTTTTAAGAGAATTTATAAGATAAGATGTCAAATGGGTGATAAAGAATTTTAATTTAAGTTAATTAAAGATTAAAATATAAATTTAAAAACCTTTAAATCTCTGAAATTATCCAACAAGTTCATGATTAAACTAATTTGTTGCCCTTAATGATTTTCTTTTTAATTTTTTTCACTCTCTCTCTTTAAAATTTATCTCTCTAAATTTTTTAAAATTTCTATTTTTAATTTTTTAAAAACTTTCTCACTAAAACTTTTTCTTTGTAATTTTTTTCCTAAAATTTTCTTTTCTCCAACTTATTTTTCACATTTTCTATACAATTTTCTCACTAAACCAATTTGTAACCCTTGATAATTCAACGTCCGGTTGCATCCTCCTAGTCTTTTCACAAAAATTTTAACTCTCTCAAAAATTTTAATCAAATTCCACTGCCAAGTATAATTGTCAGCACATGCACTTGGGATGATGTTGGCGTCACTAGTTTCCAGGAGTGTTCTTATTTACGTAACACATGGACTCCTTAACGGTGGATCTCTCTGCATGCAAGTATTTCTAGTTCTCATCATTAGGGGATATATTTTCACCCCATTGGACTTGAATTTGCGACATTGGAGTACCAAACCACTCTACTGTTTACAACGCATATTAAACAATTATATGATAAAATTATAATGTATCTGTTTGAAAAAGTTATTTTTTAACAATTTTTTATTTTAATTAGAAAAAAATACTTTTGTCAGTTTGAATGGTTAGTTTTTAGACTATTTTTCTTTAAATTTTAGTCCAAAATAGCTAAAAATATAAATAAAAAAAATATGTTTCTCGTAACTAGTGGTATATTTATAAATTATAATTTAAATATTATTTGAAGGCACATCCAGATATTTTAATAAATTTTTTATCTTAACCTTTATTAATAAAGGACAGATAAACTCTAAATATACCTTGATTTTTTATTATTATTATGGTTCATTTATTTTGATTTAATCAAAAATTACATTAAAATTTAAGAATAAGCAAAATTATATTTTTAAATTTGAAGCAAAATGGTAAGAATTAAGTTTTAAAAACTATTAATAATTTATATAAATATCTGACCAAATATAGAGATGAGTATAAGAATGGATTTTCAGCTGTGTATGGCAATGAATATATTATTGTTCATCTTATCACGTTGTTATTTTCTAATCATTTGTTTTAAAAAAGATAGAGAAATATAATGTCTCAAAGTCGAACAGATACAAGTCAAAAAAGAGTTTCTTCTAATCACGTAAAGATTACAAACGCCATAGCAAAGGAAAATCGAAGTTAGCAACTAGATTATTGGCTCAAGACGCACGAATTAGGTGGGGTTGATTTGACAGTGAACGAAGCGGAGGTGAGTCAGAGATATGAAAATAAAAATAACGCGGAGAACATGAAGAGTTCCGTGTAAATGACTAATGCAGACGGTTGGTAGGGCATCTTGTCAATAGAGGCGGCGCCAGTGCGAGATCATACTAGAGATTGAACAAATTTAGTAGATCATGCCCGGGCTGTTACCTTTTCAATTTGATAGAAAATCAGAAGATTCTGAATTTATAATTATAAATTATATATTTTAATAAATTAATTTTTTTAAAAAAGAGTAATGATTTATAATAAGTGATATCAAAATTGACTCAGACTCGATTCTAATATCTCGCTAAGTGTTTAAAATAGGATAGGCAAAGGATCTCGTCTATAACGAGAGTGTTACAGGATTGGATAAGAGAAAATATATTAATATATTAATTTTTTTTTTTTGAAAGAAAGTAACGACGTGTGACAGGCTTGATAAATGATGGTGATGGAGTGATGACTGTGTTGGATCAAGCACGGCAGTGTAGAGCAGGGGGCAAGAACATGATGATCAGGACAAGGGGCCATATTGGGAGTGTGCGTAAATGTTTAAATATTGTTTGAAGTTGAAATTTTAAATAAAAATAAGTAAAATTAATTATAATTAGAAATACTGTGTGTATATAAAATATATCAAAGAAATTTTTAGAAGTATTTTATAGTGCGCAAGTGAAGAACTTTTTACTTAAAAAATAATAAAATATACTCCACTTTTTTTCTTTTTTGTTTTTTTTAAATAATTTGAGAAATGTATTCTGAATCTGAGTGCGCTCTCTCCATGCACTGTTCAAATGAACCTCTGCCATCACCTCTCTCTCTCTCCCCTCTCTTTTGGCAATACTAAATAATTCTCAAAATCCATGATTTAGTGGTTGCTGCCGCTTCATTTTATGACTCGGCGAGTTCTTAAAGCCCATTGGCGATCTCTCTCTCTCTCTCTCTCTCTCTCTCAATGGACTATGGCAACAAGGCCAATTGGCCCGCCGACAATGCTCCATCGTTCAATCCATTGGAGCCTGCTTTTGCCACAGCTGGTCGTGCGCAGGAGCGAGATACAATAAATAGAATGGAGATGGAGAATATAGGGGTACACCACGGTTGCAGCGGAAAAGACGCGGGCGTCATTGTGTTGGTCCAGGTTGGACAAATAAGGGGAGCCATGAACTAGAAATTTTGTGATTTCTGACGCAGATCATGCGTCCATAAATTTTTTTTTTTATTTTTATTTTTATTTTTTTTTTTCTGAAAGGAAGCGTAAAATCGTGTGAAATAATAGTTTTTGGCAAAAA